AAAACAAACGATTTTTATTGACAAGAGTGTGCAAGAGGATACAAACTGGGACAGAGTGTTACAAATGGAATTCGATTGTTTTGCCTAAGGATGTTCAAGGGCTTGAGTGCCTGTTTAGCATGGAAATAAGAAATTACAGAATGAAGAAGACGTATACATTTGCAGCTGCAAACGAAGAAGAACGTGATGAGTGGGTGAGGGAAATAGGAAAAATTCTTTACACAGGCGTTTTGTTTGGAGGAGCTATCGGAGGTATCACAAAACGTTTAACTGGCAAAGAAGAGACGGCCTAAAAAGTGCGTCGGAGCTATCAGTGAAGGTCCAAGAAACTTTGTTGCAGGGATGCTAGAATAATGAATAAACGAACTGAAGACGTGTCTCTTTTAATCAAACATGAAATAAATTTCCAAGGTCAAAACGCATTCCTTTTCAAAAATTTTAAATTCCAATCACAGAAAGTCTATTATTCGTCTAACAATGCCTAGGAGAATAGCTCAATGCATACCTGGGGGAATCATTTGAAGGAAAGCAGCATCACAAATGATACCATAAAGAAAACTATCCGCACATCGCATGAAATTATCATCACATGGGAAACAGAGAGAACCACTAAAAACCATAGGAGAACGCATGTAAAAACGTCACTTGGGGATTGCTTATCGTACTAATTGGAATAAACGCGGGGGTTTTGTCAAAAGGCCTATATCCCGATTAAAACGGGGGACAAGAGGTTTATTCTACGTACATTTTGATAGCATGTGGAAGTAATGAGGCCCTTTTAAATGAAATAAATGAAAAAATCAGCTGATTTAGAAGCCTAGAAAGGAAATATATAACCAAATGCAGAATTCAAAGGACAAATGCAGCTCAGTTCTGTTTGTAACTCAACTGTTCTTACAGGATCTCCACATTTACTCAGTTTAAAACAGAAGAAGGAAATAAATAAATCGTTATCACCTAAAGGTCATCCTAACAAGGGAACTGCCGCCTTCTGGAAGCGAAACGTGCAAGCTATTAGTCGAAAGCTGAAGAAACAGGGCAATTAGACAAGAATATGACATGAAACGAAATCTTGAAACGACGAATCAAAATTGCCATTCTAACAGTTCACATTTTTTAAGATGTAAATGTAAATAACAATTTGCTTTCTTTCCATCAATATTCATTCGCTTTTATGTCTCTTTTTGCCTTTACCTAGCCCAATCTTATCATTAAAATCCTAATGTGGAAAGAAACAATTTAAAAACAAATTAATTCCCAGTCAATTTTGCAGCCAGTTTTCCCCCTAAAACATCAAGTTTTCACACAGCAAGACATGTAGAGTTATCCATTGATGCTGAGCAGGAGATAGAAACCTTTGCTCGACTATGATTCATTTTGCTTCAAAACGCACTAGATTTCCCCCAAAGCAAAAAAATTTCTAGAAATATTCATAAAAAATAGTAAAAATATATTAGAGGTTCAATGTATATGTAGCCTAAATCATAGTCGTTCGAAGACGTTTTATAAGGGCTGCTTCGAAAAGGTTCGAAGGAAATTGCCAAGTTCTCTCGATCACCCAAGTTTTATCTCACTAACAAATGCGCCATTTATAGGCCTAGAAGCAAGGAGGCTTTGAAGGTGGCGGTGAAAATGCTCTTTGAGATCTTTTTGCAAATTTCATTGGATTATTCTGATATCGAGAGTCAACACAACAAAACAGCCCCGATTTAGTTGATTTAGGGTCCAGTTCCGTCTTCGGGTTTACACGGACAGTCGCATCCATAGTGACGTATTACCCTCAAACTCGTTTCCGAGCCTTTGCCTGACAGAAACGGTTATCCAGTGGCTATTGATTATGACCACTGATCTATAAGAAGACTGGATCGAGCTTCTAATGTGACTAGAGTGTCGCCATCCGAGAAAAGGGCCCCAGAACAGCCCATGCGAGGAGACGGCCTTCTCTGTCACCCCTAGCAATGTTTTCAGCTGCTCTGGCCTTGTTCTTTTTCAGCAATCATACACACAGCATTGCAGCTCTCGCGTATCCATATCGTTGAAGTATTGGTTTTGAAGAATGGCTTCCCGCTATTTTTGGGGCCTTCTACCTTTTGAATTTGAACGGGCCTCAAACTTAGGTGTTTCGAGACAATGGGAAGCTCGATCCAGTCTTTTTTATAGATCAGTGATTATGACGCACGGCAGCATAGGTCAACTACAAACAACAGATTTGTGCTAACAAAATATACAATCAATACAATAAAATTAATGCGTTTTTGAGCAAGGTTTGCCACTATGCCTTCACTTCCTAAAGCTTGGGACCTACATGTCCTAACTTGCAAGAAAGCACAAGGACAAATGTGAGCAAAAACCTTGTGCGCTAATGGGAACCGACTAGACAAAGCAATAACGCTTTGCTTCTGCATTGAATGTCTTTATTGGAAAAAAGCTTTACAACCACAAACAAACGTAATTAATTTGTGATTGTGCTTGTGACAAGCCCTAAACATTTAGCTATAACTTGATCATTCACAAGATAACATTTAAAGCACTGACAATGACCTCAAACTCGGTGCTGCTGTCACATAATCTTGTTTGAGACAACATAACAATACACCAAAAGGTAGGCAAAGTGGGGAAGTAAAGAAAACAGTAGTCCAAAACGGAAATACAAGGATAATCTCAAGATACGAAATCTTTTAGTTAATTTCATAATTTGTTGGCCCTCCATACTAAATTAAGAAGAAAAATCACCACCTACCAAGGAGAAAGAAAAGAAAGTCATAATTGGATGTAAAGGAAAGTGATGTAAATGGGAAAGTTAAGGTGGATCTCTTCCTCAACATTTTATGGAAGTGGTTTTGATAAGAACAAAGTACCCTCGTTCTCGCAAAGAGGCTGACACAAAGCTTGCACAGTTATATGGTCTGAAAGAAACAGACACAGCGTCCTTTCAAAAACAACAGAGCAAAATGTTACGAGAAGTGATAAGTTTGGCAGAAAAGCCTAAGATTTTGATCATAGAATACGATTACATATATAAGGTCGAGAGGGCACCGACGCTGTCGAATCTCTCTATAGAGATATCGTAACTTGTCCGTAATCTAATAAGTACACTTTTCATCTCTAAATTCTGAACTAAAGGATTAATGCGATTGAGATAAACCGCTCAATCCGTTGCAAATATTTCCTTGCTACGGCGATCAGCCCGAGCTGTCGAAAGAATGCTTTTGTAAATAAATTTGTGTTTCGTGCCGAAATTGCGCTGCCTAATGGCTTAGTTCTTATCAAACAAATTCTTTTTTATAGGAAAGCCTTAATTTTTACCGAGCTTTAATGCTTGTAAATTGCAATTTAGAGCCCAAATGAAAAATTCTAGCACAATACAACCTCAATGAGTACACTTTCGTTTTTAAAAAACAAGGCAATTTTGTTCAAGGCTCAAATATTTCTGGATGAATTGAGGATCTTAATGTTCTTTTTTATTTTGTTTTCAATATTGTCCTTATTTTAGCATTGTTTTTAACAATTATCTACTGTAAAATGATTCTAAGACTACTAATTTTTTTTCCTTCTAACTTTTCATCTAAAGCTGGGCATGCTCTCGCGTTGATTTTGTCTCTTGGCAAGTCTATCCTCGGTGTTCTTGTATAGAAGTTCTTATTAATAAAAAGATGCGTCACCAATTTTTGGGTGAGTCATGCTTGCCTTGTTTGTTCAAAAGACTCATAAAAATATAACGTCAAACTGTCAATTAAATGCTAGCTTTGAAATCATTCTTAGTAAATTCTTAAACTTCACAAATTTTGAGAAGCAATATTCTTTTGAATTTGCTCAATAAAAGTAAAGATCGTGATGGTTAACGATTGACAATTTACGATTATGGTGCCAATGATCATATTCTACTCTTTTTATGATAAAAGTGAATATATTTATGATTTATAACTAATGATCAATGTTAATAATCGTTTAATAATCTTGATGTCGACAATCACATGAATCCTGCTTAATGGTCATGATAATATTGACACGACAACAACGATGGTCAAAACAAATATGGCAAAACTCGTCAACGAAACTTCCTCAAAAGGACGAGAGGTGAGTGACCCCGATAATTATCACCAAGTAAATGGAAGAATCACAAACGACGGACATTTTTACTTTTCAAGCAAAAAACCGCATTTATCAAAGGAAAATTAAATTTCTGCCAATACACTCTCTTTTTTAAAAGAATACTATGATCTTATTTCAGCCTCGAAATTCTTTAGAAATTTTCATTTTTAGCCTGAATATATTCTAGAGTATATATCCTTTAATAAATTTTCAAATCTGATATATTTTCAGGGGAATATCGCCTGCTTCACAAAAACAGCGCTTTTTGTACAACAAGATGACAGTCTCTCGATTCCCTATTATAAACATCGCAAAAGAGGCAACTGCTGAAAAATTAGTCACAAATATTCAATATTCCTAAAGTATTCTCAAAAACTGGATTGTTCTGGGTCTGAAAATTCTTAAAAACAATATTCTTATTAAAAAAATGTAGAGTAGCAAAACCGATACCAGAGGTAAAAGTCTACAAAATTTAAAAAAGCTTTATTTGTTCGGTAATGCATATGAAGATATTCTATCGGGATTACAACTTATTTGTGACCATGTTCAATTCAGAGGAATATTCAAACTGAAGGGCTTTCCAATGTTTTCCAGAAAAATGAAAAAAATTGAAAATATAGCTGAATGCTTAGCCCAAAAACTACGCAAAAGAAACGTTTAATTTTGTATCTGCAAGAAACATTATACTTTGTCAGTTTCCGTAATCATTGGAAAATTGTGGACTAACAAACGAATGAATTAGAGGAATTTGACGCAAAACTTAAGTTGATACGAGATCAAGCAATCAAACAGCGATTGCAATGTAGCAAATCAAGCCAAACGAGCAAATGTTAGTTCGAAGCATCTAAAATAGCAAAGTGTTTAAACTTTCTAGAGAGGATAGTTATATAGGAAAATTGTATACATACCAGCAAGCGATTCGCCTTGGATCCCTTTCGACATACTGTCACTTTCAGCTCCTACGAACGGTAAAGTCAAATTTTTATCCACTTGGTGTAAATATGGCCATTACAGCATGCATGACATACGATGAAATTTCCAAATGAAACATTGAAGCTTCGAACGTAAGAAACAGATGTCTGGTCGTTACAGTAACTGGCAGTATTCTTTGCATGACAAGATTGTTTATGAGGTCTACTTCAACCCCCTGCTTTAAGATGGATTAAATTGAAAAACAATAGGATAAATCCATTGGCCAGGGCGTACTTACATAAAAATTGTTCGATGATTGAAGAGAAAAAGGTATTTCGATATTGGAAGCGGAAGGGACCCAGAAACAAGGTCAAAAAGCAAGTCACGTGGCTTCTGCTAGAGACTAAAGTTTTCACTAATGTTTAAATATATCAGTTTTCCTAAGAATTAAATATATAGGCTCGAGAATAGTTGCCAAGAACCGGCTCATCATTGTGTCAGGCAAACACGACCACAGATAAATACCAAACACACAATTTTTGTTTACATAAGCAAAGAGTAGTAAGTCAAAGTAAATACCAAATCACTGCCAAGAAAAATACAACGCAGAGGCAAAACCAACGGCGCTTCGTGGAAAAGGAAGTAAGCAAGCATGAAGCTGGCGGTCGATGTAACAGCCAAACTTGACGATGGACTCGCACAAGGTCATTTTAAGGGTTATGCTTTGTGAGATAGTCTCATATAAAAAAGCAATACAACCACGGAAAAGGTTGAGAGTCTCGTCATCAGGAATAATAATTGCAAAGACGAAAATAATGGAACGCCAATTCTGCCTTACGCTTATATTGAACATTTGGAACCATGGACAGGAGGCCAGAACAAAATGGCCATTCTGATATCTGGATTCCTCGTGATAACACGAAATTTTGCTTTAAAAACAAACAAATTTCCCTTCATAATTATCCTTGCCTGGACCAACTTTTATAAATTTGAAATTTCCAAATACTTTCATTTTATAAAAGAATGAGCAACTGAGTAACTGAAAACTGATTTTCAGTCTGGCTGTTCTTTATTTTCCCAAAACTTTGAGGGGGGTTTGTCTCAATATATTTTTAATAATCAGGGTGTAAACTAAAGAAAATTAAAGCGGGAGAAAACATTTTACTGCAGAACAACATTGCATCGTAGATATTGGTATTTTAGTAACATTAGCCGGAGATTAACCATGTTTTGAAAGATAAATAAAACCTTTTTAACAAAATGAGTACAATCTTACATTTTATAGTTTCTCAGCTTTTACTTGCTCTTAATTTTTGATAAATTTTGAGTGCTTAAAAATTTGTTTGCAAAAAAATATAATTGAAACAGTCCATTGTTTTAAACAATGAAAGGTCTATTATTGAGCTGGAGGGACAATGCCACCCCCTTGGTTACTATGTTACAAAAGGCCCTGATTGATAACTAAAACATTTAGTTGTTGCAAAAATTCCCTGGTTTGTCGGCGAAATCGTCCATCGGTAGGTGAAAGAGCACCTTTATCTATGTCCTCGTCGGTAAATTTTAATACTTGTGATCCTCCACCCCCTAGTCTGGAAGGTCAAGCTATGCCACTGAAAAAATTTCTCCTTCTTCTGGCCCTTTTTCTTTGTAACTGAAGGCACCGGCCCTGAAATAGTGCAACATGAAAGGCACTGTGAATATCCTGTTCGAGGAAAACACATTGGATGCTGAGTTATTTTCCATATACAACATGACTACGATTTTATAAAAAAGAAAAGAGATATTTCTCTTGTCTGTTTTGACAACACCGTAAAGAAAATACCCGGCACATCTCCCCCTGACATGGCAGTCACAACCAACTAGTTCCTGTCAAAGACGAAAGCGGATACATTTGAATACAAATGCAGATACGAAAACTGGGAAGGAAATTGTTGTTCAAGAGGTGGTTCTCGGACACATAAATCTACTTTGGCTTCAAGAGTCGTTTTATTTTAATATGGTTAGCTTATCTACGGCGGACGACATCAAAACAATAGCCATTTTAAGTTCCCCTAGATACAACTCGCAAACTAAATTTGAATTTCCCTTCTACGTGAAAACTTTATCATGACAAGGTGCTGACAAGACAACGACAGAACGATGAAAAGGAACCAATCCGCGAATAAGGAACTAAAATCTCGCTCGGAAAATCTTTAATTAAAGTACTTGTTTTCAAACTCACCATTTCAAAAGCAATTGCAATCACCAAATAAATCCGTCAACGGCAAACAGTCACGAGTTACTAACAAAAATATTTGTAAACGCTTTAAAGAACCAATCTTGAGAGAATTTGTCCGGGTAGTCGAATGGCCTTTGCAGAATACCAAGGTTTCAAGAACTCATGACGATGTTGATATGGTTGTAGATTAAAACATAGATATTGGGATTATTCCAGATCAGCTAGGCGTGTAAGCAACATTTATTGTTAATGAGGGCTAAATTATCGTTGTTTAGAAGAAAAATCACCACAAAATCTCGTCCAAACAAATGTTGAATATTCTATTTGCCCGTTTCCAACAGCGTGGGTCCTTTCAAAGCAATCCCTGCTCTAGATGTTTGCATTTCTTGCCAGATCAAAACAACGAAGCATCCAATTTGATTGGCTATGGAAATATAACACTACGATAATACAGTTTCCAGCAGTTCACTAAATAGGCAGCACCACCGGCCTTTTTAACCAATTCTTATCTGCCAACAATCGTGTGAAAATAGCAAGATAATCTCCGGAGTACATAAGATCAGTGCCTAAACTGTTGCAAGCCTTTTGAATCAGTGAATAAATAAAAGAGGCAACCACAGAGGCAAATATTTGTGAATTGAACCCTGGTAACTGCCTGGCTGCTCTACCACAAAATAAGTTCCAATATGAGCCTATGGGTGAGAGGCTCTGTGTGCCAACTTAGCTCTGAACACAGCACCTTGCAAGTCCACGCAACCAGTGGCAGGCCACTGCAGAGAGCTGGCATGTGAGCATTGAATATGCAATTAATGGATAATATCAATGGTTCTTGAACCGGGGGTGGAAGATGTAAAAATCGACGTTTGAAAAGGAACAGAGGAGAAGAAGCAGAGGAGAAGGAACAGAGGAAAAGGAACAGAGGAAAAAGAACAGAGGGAAGATTTCCTCAGAAAAAAGTAACACTTAAATGGCAAATCTTTAAATTGTAAGCTTGGAAACAGAACCGTCGCTAGCTAGCTTTTTTCCACAAGCGAGTCGCCCCGATCCCATTTTTCGAGAAAAAGAGTGAGCCATTCTTTGTTTGCCATGAATGCGACCAAAATAAACACACTGTTATTTAATCATTAATCTTGATATTTGTGAATCACTATTGCAAAATTGCCAAAGACCCCTTCTCATTCCTGAAAGTTGACCAAGAAAACAAAGACCCTCAAGAAACAAAAAAGAGATAATGGTTGTACAAATATGTTTGTTTTGCAAGGCCAAGAGAATAATTAGGGGTGATGTCAATTTCAATTGTTTTAAACACTTAATTATTGCCCCGCCTAATTTCCCTTCGAAAAGGCAATGTTGTGCAGAAGTTTAGCCTGCGTGCAGACTCGGAAATTACAGAATTTAGGCTTTGATTTGAAAAAAATCATTTAAGTTACCTTCAATAAAATATGGATGAAACTGTGGGGCCATCCCCTCCCCAAAATTTGACACAGACACAGCCCCTGCATCTACATGTGATGTAGGTTTTGATACACACATCTGATCTTCCCTTTTTAAGGGTGGAGGAGTAAGAATCTTGTGGTTGAGAGCCGGTGCCCCTTGGTTATGTGGAAAGTTCTTTTCAGTTTTCGGGTTTCATTAATCTAAATAAAATTTCATCTTACTTCGTTGGTCTAAGAAGCGATAAGCGTTGAAAACTTAGAGCTACGGAGAGTTTTACTACCCATCACAAAACAAGACATTCCTTGATATACAAAATAACTGTTTGGAATGGAAACCAGTTAGAGGATTATTTTACAATCAAAAACGCATCCAGACGAAACATATTGGAAAACCACAAAGCTTTGCTGACTTAACTGTGACATAAAATATTCTTTATCAAATAAAATTTTTAAGCGACTGAGCCGAAGGAATTTCGCAATATCTAGGATTAATCGGATGGTATCGCAAACTGGATAATTTACTTGCTGGTTCAAAACATCTGAACCTAGAAATCAAAGCTCAAACTCCCCAGGCCGTTGTTGCAAAAAATTTCATTTATATAAAAACAAGAGGGTTTAGTGGGTGGTGGAATTGGGGCTTACGGATCCAAAATAGCAAAATGGAAACAGGATTGATTTTGCATGGACTGAGCGAAGCGAATCATGCTGAGAACATGGGAGTTGAACAATTAAAATAACAGAAACATGATTGAGTTGTCCAACAAAGTATGCCTAGGGAAATTGACTAGGGATCATTTTTAAAGATAAAATAGCCAGCAAGTTAAGAAAGTTGCATGGGATGGACACGTCCAGCGCACAGCAACCGTTTGCGGCAAATCATCGGCGCACAAAATTGAGCACTTAAAACTGGCCTCTAAATGAATTCAAAATTTGTCAGTAATAATTTATAACGATGGATGCATAATAGACAGTTAAATTAAATGGATTTGATTAATTGATTATACAAATATCATTTGTAACTTCCTTGGACTAACGTGGTATTTATGGGTACTTTTGTTAGGCTTTACATAGAAAAAACCTCTGCGACATAAATTAATATTGAGCACCAATGACAGATATTTTATCAATTATTCGAACAATTGCGGAATGTGAAGAGATTTTTAGAAAATTAGTAGAAACCACGATTCTTACCCAAGAGCCTGTATATTCCCAGCCGAACAGAGCCGTTATAATTTCAATTTGAAATGGGTTGATTGCTGTAGGAAATTTGCATATAGCTAGAAAAACAATGAGGTGTCGTTTTCTGGTGAGGCACCCGGAAGATGTTCCAAAAGCTATGTGCCATCCCAAAAGGAAAGCCGAAAATGACGCCGAGAATTCACAAAGCACCACC